TGGGGTGAGGTGAGACGCATGCAACCTTATACTTTTTCTTATCACAACATCCTCTAGTCCAAGCCCTCCTGTAGTAGATGCACTATCTGAAATAGTTTCCTGAATCCATATGGCCAGTGATGACCAAGCCAGGAACCAGGGGTCTGGGATTTTTGATTCTCAGCCCAGTGCTGTTTCCATGAGAGAACTTCTTTAGAATACATTTATTTTGAAAACTGAAGTGAAGTCCCTGTTTCAGTAGACAGTTTGGCATTTTTCTGTCTGTCAACACTCTGATAAATTTAGAAGAAATGGACTTATTTTGGCACATCTGGGAACGAGTGAAAAGATCAGATTGCCAGTGTGATGATGTCTTCACTCTGCTGCCTGGAAACAAAATGGCAGTTGACATGAACGTTTTCAAGGAGACACGCTGTCTTTAATTTGTGATGGATTTCGACATAATTTGGCTTGCGGGGAACAGTTATCATGTGTATGTCTGCATTGACTGTGACCTACAGATCAGATCATTATTCCTTACCTAAGGGGATGGCTTGTTCTGTTACTGACAAGAGAGGAGGTGGCCAAGGAGGTCCGCATTTTAAGTGGCTGTTACAATTACTGATATTTATGATGGTGGGTACAGAGATATTTCATGCTTCGTGTTTTGCTGGGAAGTGGGCTGGGGAAGCGGAGCATGGGACAGTCCATACAGAGGCTGGTATCCTCAGGCTGCTAAGCCTCCCCACCCACCCCCTGTTCTTATTTAACCACTTCCTTCTCGTCATCAAATCCAAAAGTCGCAGGCCTGGAGTACTTGGAAAGAATCAGGATCCCGTTTCTCTCCAGCATAATCAACCCAAACGGGTAAATTTCTCTTGAGTCTTTGCGATTTTGGAAGACTCTGCACAGGGTCCTTGCAGGAATAGGGTGTAGGGAGAAGCAAGGGCCTGAATTCAGTAGCTTGAACATGCACTTGGAGCTTGGACCACGTGGGTGGGGAGGATGCTGAGGGTGGTTTCTGTTCACATCATTTTCCTGTCATAGAGTAGAACTGACTTCCTTCAGCGAGGTTCAGCTTCAGTACCCTCCCAGACACCTCCATGTGGACATACAAGTGATGCTTAGGAACCAGCTAGTTCCCCCTCCACCTTTCTCTCATCCCAGTGTTCCAAAAACATCACTGTTGCCTGGCTCTGATCGGTGCTCTTGATGGATTCCCTTATGCCAGGACAGGCGTGATCATCTGGTAAGGTGACACTGGGGCCCCTGTTTCCTACTTTTTGCTTTATGTTTCTTGCTAACCTCTGCATTCCTCTGTCTTCTGCCTAAGATGGCCCCATCTGGTTAGCATTCTAAGATTTGCTGCTTAGTATTGCTTATGTATCATGTACTATTAAGTATTTTAGATGTATTAGCTCACTTAATTTTCATAGTAAATCTGTGTTATTTTCAGTATTTTACAGATGAGGAAACTGAAGCACAGAGAAGTTATTTTGCCAGAGACATACCCTAAGTATGAGTTCAGTCTCAAACTTGGCATTCTAACTCCAGAGTTCGTTTGTCAAGCTACTATAAGACATTGCTTCCCAAATGCTAAACCAACGAGACATTTGATTTAGTATTTTTCCCCTCAGATCCTGCTCTTTATCCATCCATCCATCCATCCATCCATCACCCATCCATCATCCATCCACCCATCCATCCATGCACCTACTCATCTTTTCATTCATCAGATATTTATCAAATACATTTACATTGTGCCCAATATTCTGCCAGATGACAGCGGGGTTTTCCAAGCAGTCCTTTCAGTCCTAGAGCTGGCTGACTCATAGGACAGATAGATCAGTAAAGGTGCATTGAGGCATGGGCATGGGTGCTCTGAGGGAAAGGGCTGCAGCTTCTCGTGTCACAGCCCATGAGCCAGGACTGCCAGCCTCAGTGCCTGCATCCCATTTCCCAGCCCTGACCAAGGCCCCTCCCCCAACCCCCAACACATACAGTTTTCTAAGCCTAATAATTTCCAGGGGCTCCCACCAGTCCAAGGTTCCAATATAGTGTCCAACTCTCCTAACTCTGCCACCATTTCTCTGGCTGGACAGTGTGTTCGAGTGTGGCCCGCTGGAGCTGTTCTCCCAGCACAGTGTGGGCAAGGCTTTGTTTGCTTGCTTGTTTTTACTTTGCTGGCTCTGCATATCTCCCTAGTCATTTTATCACAGATAGCTTTGTTTTCCTCTAGTTTGAGCAGTGGGTAAAACCTTTAAAAAAATAAGATTTATTTGTTTATGCATGTAAGAGTTTGGGTGTAGGCTAGAGGTGTGGGGGGCCAGGTACAGAGTGGGGAGCAGAACAGGTGGATCTTCTGAAATACACTGCTGAGGGGAGCAGCAGGTGAGACAGGAGAGGCCTGCTGCTCCATGTGAGTCCCCTCCCTGGCTGGGATGGAACTCATGCTTCATAGTGCTATGATTTAACCCTTGTGACACCAGAGAGGCCCCTGAAGCTGGTTTTTTTTGGGACATAGGTTTTGTTGAGAGATTGACAAAATCTAAGAACATTCTTTAAGGACAAAATGCTTCCCTGAATTTCTAAACAAGCAAATATTTAAAAGTACCCCAAGTTTATATATTAGATTTGAAGGCTACTGTCTAAGGCTAAGTGGGTTATTCTAGCTGTGTAGACAGATGATATCCCCAGAAATTCACTTCTACTGAGAAATAGGAGCTGTTGTTCCCTCTGCCTGGGAAAATCCACATGTATCTCATTACTCTCCTTCATTTTGAGCAGTGATTGAAGGCTTTTTTGGGCATGAATCTATGAGAGATTGACAGAAATTAAAGCCTTCTTTTGAGAAAAATTCACAGACTTGGAACAATTTGCACAGGACTTCAAGGGATTTATAGTCCTCCTAGAGTTCATTTCTGGGCCTCAGGTGAACAATTTCTAACCAGAATGATGTCCTTAGTTTTTGTGGCTTCTACCTCTTGATGTGACCTCTGAACACTTGAGCACTGTTTAGCAGCTGCCCGGTGTCTGGGAAATTCCATGGGCTTCTGGGGAAGGTCTCTGAGAAACTGCCCAGGAGGCAGGGCCAGGCCCAGAGGTGGGGATAATGGCTGGTGTGCTCCTAGGTTCAACTCGCTGGAGCTTCCAAGAACCCCCATTCTCATGACTTCCAGCCATGACTGTTCATTTCCATGTGTGCCCATTGCTCCTTGTTCCTGGACGGGTCAAGCAGACACCAAGACTATCAGTAATTCCTGGTTGGGAATCTAAGCACACAGCATAGTGGAAACATTTATGGGGTGTGTGTACCACCCCTCCTGCCCCAGTACTCATGACAGATGTTGCTAATCAATGAGAGCTTTCTTTCCCATTGGGTTCAGATACGGTTTTATAATCCTTTCAAATAGTAATTTAGGTAGAGGCCACCACTCCATCAGAGTTGGTATGGGACAATGAAATAATTTTGTCATCCTGGATGCAGGGGGGAATACAGGCACTTTGGTTCTCCAAGCCCACTTGCAGGTCTAGGGTCTTAGATCCTCCATCCCAGTTGGCATTGAACTTGGGTTCAATGGCGCCTCTCTTGGTCCTGGAGAAGTCTCAGACACTGAATATCTGGTTGTCCAAGCTCTAGCCTGAGGGTGGCTCTAGGTTTCCTTCTGTATCCCCCTGTATTAATTCTCCCATTTCTCAGCTGTAACTGTCTTTAATACTGTTTATGTTAACCTTACTCTCTGCAGGGACCCCAAGTCAGACCCTCCTTAGCTGTAGTCTAGAAATAGCAAGAATATTCCCATTCTGGCATCTCCTGTGATCTACGCACTGTGCTCTTCTAGCACACAGGCAGTCATGTTACCCCCCTTTCGAAACTCTTGAGTGAAAACCCACTTTTTTACCATGGTGCCTACAGGCATTTACAGCCTGGCCCCAACTTATGTTCTAGTTTCATGCCTCTCCACTCCCCTGTGCCTTAACACACTCTTACAATGCCTCACTTCCTGGTGTTCTAGGGCATACATCCTTGTCCTAGCTCATGCTGTTCCTTCTGTTTGCAACACCCTACCACACCCACCCCAAGCCCTTTATTCTGCCTGGTGAGCTTTGATTCTTCTTCCAAGACTCACCCTTGCTATGTGTCATTGCCCCCTTCGCACGCAGCTCCCCAGGCATGTTCTGTCTCGTTACACTTTCCTCTGTCTAATAATTGTGTGCTTCCTTTGGAACAGTGTCCTATGCACGAGTGGCCAAGCACCCGACACAAGGCAGAGCACAGAGCAGGGAACTTGGTCCTGTGCATTGTGTGTAACTCACAGTGTGTGAAGCCCCCCCAGCCTTCTCTTCTGTTCCCCAACACACATTTGCTCTATAATGATATCTTGCCAAACAAAAGTAGCTGTTGTCTTTTATATGACTCAGAAAGGGTACTTTACTGAAAGTCACCAGAAATGGGCAGTTTTTGATATGAGCCTCTTGGCTGTTTACCCTGACTTTGCTGGAGGCAGAAGGACTTTGTTCATGAGATACAAGCACACCCTTCACCCTTCAAACAGAGCCCGTGGGGAAAACAAGCTTCCTGTTTCCTCCTTGGCCTCTCCCAGGTCTCTCTGGCTTTCCTTTTCTTGGTGGGGTTGGGAAAGTGGCAGGACTAGGAATCCCCCAATTGGTGCAGGAAATGGGTGTTTGGGGGTGACTTACTCAAAGTGGTTGGGGGACAGAGTTGGTTGAGTGGGAGGGGTCTGTGGGCTTCAACTTTGAGCTCATTCTGTGCAGATGATTTTCATCTGTGTCATTTGACAAACAGATGACAGGCTTCTCATTGACCTGGTCCATGAGATCATGGCAAGATGGTATCATTGGAGTAGGGATAGAAATAACATCACTAAGAGGACTAAGTCACCATGTAGCCCTGTCTCTGTACTAGTGTCCACTCTAGATGCTTTTCAGATGTTAACTCCTTTAGGTCCTTAGCACAACCCTTTGTTGTAGGTTTTATTGTTATCATCCCCATTTTACAGATGAGAAATATAAACTACCAAGATATTAACTAATGCTAACATGGAAACAGGCTGACCCAAGCACCATGGGGGGAGGTCATGAGTGAGACTGTTATGAGCCTAAGAAGAGTATTGAAAATCCCAAGGACATTCAGGTATGTCCTCCAGAGTTATTTTACTTTTTTTTTTAAAGATGTATTTATTTATTCATACAAGAACTGGGGTATAGGCTAAAGGTGCAGGGGGCATGAGTGGATTCACTGGAGACAGAGTGGGTCACAGAACAAGCAAATCTACAGAAATACACTGCTGAGGGGGGACAGTGGGCAAGATAGGAGAGTCTGCTGTGCCATGTGGGTCAGCTCCCTGGTTGGGGACTGAACTCGTGCTGCAGTGGCTGCCACAGCTTCATAGGGCTGTGCTTTAACCCGTTGTGCCACTAGGGAGGACCCCAAGCCTGTCCTTCCTTATCTAAATAGTAGTATCTATGTCTTCTTGGAAGGTTCAACGTGAGGATTGGATGAACTCTTATAAATAAAATGCCTAGCATATTATAGTCAATAAGCTATAGCTGTCATTATTAATTACCTAATTGCTCCCTTCTTTGTGTTCTTTTTGTTTCATATGCTTCCCTTCTAGAGTCTCATCAGACTACTTTAATTATCTTATCATATGTTGTCTTGCTGCTATACTCTAAGACCCTCAAAGACAGCAATCAGCTCTTATCCACGTCTGGGCTCTCTTGATGGCAGATGGGAGGCTTCATACAAGGAAACAGAGGCTTTGAAAGGAAGCTGTTTGCCCAAGTGCACAAGCCAGTAAGTGGAAAACTCAGGTCCCTCTCCAGTTGCTGTGCAAACTGTTTTCTGATCCAAAGTCAGTGAGGTGAGTGGTAGAAATCCTTTTCCTGAATCTATGATTGCCTGGATGAGAAGCTGCCATTCCCTGGGAAATGCATGAAGGGAAAAGGGGACCGAGAGTGAGTAGGCCCAGAGAGGAGAGGACCTACCCGGTAGGGATGAGACAGGGCATGGTGGGCGAGGAGATGTGAGGGCTAGCGGTGGGGAGGAGTCTGAATCTTGGGTGGCCTTGGAATACAGGTGGAATTCAAGCATTTGTTGCTAAGGGGGTGGGCCATGAGTTAGATTTTGGAAATGCTCAGAAGTTGCTCCTAGACTAGCTCCTCTGCTGAATCACAGACTGCTTCACTTTCAAAGCCAGCGGGGATTCTTGGAGGACCCTTTAAGACTCAGTGACCTTGACAGTGAATATGTGTCTCGGAGGTCAAAAGCTCTGGTCACACTCAAGATGCAGCCGGTCTGTAAAGCTCTTCTCAGTGACTTTCTGTAAAGTTTTAGGTTTCAAACCAGCTGCAAAATGAATGAACTGCTCATCTCACTAGCACAGCACACATTTGAGCCAAGCTCCTTGCTTGGCTTTATGGGGCCAATACATCTGCAGAATCACTTACCCGTCACTCTGCAGACGGAATGCATTATATTGGAAAACTTTCTTTCCCCTTTCCCCCAAAAAACTTTTATTCCCTGGCAGAAAAGGTTTATCAACGTCTTTAAAAAACCACTCAGATCTTCTTGGCAACCCCTGATACCATAAAAGAGTGGCAGTGTGAATGCAAATGAATTGGAGGGCATTAAAAACCCTCTTGCTTCAGCAGCTCAAGTGGAGAAGCGCCCGATGATGGATAGCACATGGCTTTCTGCTGAGCGATTTTGCTCTTTTTACAGCTGCCAATGGCTGATATATTTCATCTTTTGTTTCCTTTACTGCTGCTTAAGCAACCACCCTCAGGCTGGGGGTCTGTCCCTGGGCACCCACTTCAGTGTGTCCCCTGGGGAGGGCCCTCGCCAGCTGTTTTGGACTTACTGCCTGATTCAGGGAAGGCATGGGGTGGCTCAGCTGGATGGGGCCCCAAGAGCGTGCCCCTCCCATAATTGCTGAGCTCAGTAGCAGAGGTGCTGAGAAGGTGGAAACCCTCCCCCTTTTCCTGTGGGACACACGCTCTTTTCTGTTCCCTTGTCTTTGCTCAGGCCCACTGCATGCCAGGTACCTGGAGGCCCAGGAGTGAAGGACTCAGCTCTGTTTTCAGTGATCGTCCAACAGGTTGGGGAGGAAAAAACTCAACCCCCATCAGTTACATGTACTTCCCTGGTCACAGGCACCCACACTTCTCCACATGTAGGGGCACATGCTTGCACCCACACATCAGCTCAAACACGCGTGAAACTCACAAGACAAGTGCACATCCTGAAAGTGGACAGAAACAGTCAACTCCAGTAACTCTCAAACACAAGCACAAAAACACCCCCCGGGTGGGGAAGCCAGAAAATTAGACGAGGTGTGACTTGAAGTCACAATCACAGGCTAGCGAGAGAAATTCAGAGGAAGTTACGGTAGGAGTGCTGATGTAGATATTTTGCCGTCTAGACTCAGTCTCCTATTTGCTGTGTGACCTTGCTCAGATATCTTAATCTTTCTGAGCCCCAGTTTACTTATTTGAAAAATGAGACTCTGTTGGGTACAAGGCCTGTGATTTTGGGAAATCAGAAGTTCAGAAGTCAATATGGAGTGGAGTAATAACAGTAACGGTTGTAACTAAATAGCTTATGTTGTACTAACCCTAAAACCTATATTCAGCCCTTACCGTATATTAAGCATTTGATATATATGATGTCTTAATTCCCACAACAACCCTAAGAAATGAATACAAGTATTAGCTGCTTTAAAGGTGACAAAACCACAACACAGCGCGGTGAGGTCACAAATCCAGGGCCACACGGCAAGTGGCAGTGGCGTCTGTATCGAAGCCAGACAGGTCGGCTCCTGCCTAGGTTGCCCATGTGCTGAGTGGGGCTTGTGCTGGGCCCTGGGGACCAGAAAGGAGGGGTACACATGCCCTGGCCTTAATAAGCCCACTGTTGGGGGGGGGGTGAGGGTGGCAGGCAGGTGTGCTGCTCCACGCGGGGGACCCGAGGCCTTCCTCCGTGGGCTGAGATGCCTTCTGTGCGTGACTCCTGTGGGTCAGAGCAGCTTGGCTTGGTCCTGAGGGTGAGCTACGGGGCAGGTGGGTGGGTGGGGCCTGCAGTGAGATAGTGAGCTCCCAGTCACGCTCAGGAGGCCAGAGCTCTTCTGTGTGTGTTGCATGTGCCCCGGATAAAGATACACATCCTGGCTGGGCCTAGGCTGGGGCATCCATAGCTCATCATGATGACTATGGGTAAATTAGGAAAAGGACTGTTCTCTAGAGACTGCATGGCTGGCCGGGGCGGGGCTCAGGCTTGGGGGTGGAGTGACGGCTGGGGTTTGGGCCCCTATCTGGTGACCCTGGAGGATCAACGGAGGGTAGCCCAGAAGGTCCTCACAGAGCTCTTTCTTGCAACGGGAGAAGGAAGTTGCAGGACCTGCTATTGGCCTCAGAAAGGGTCCCCTGCAGCCCGGGTGGGACGTAGATGTGGAGGAAGGGGCTGGGAGGACTGGACTGGCAGTCAGTAACCTCACAGCTGCTCAGCATGGTCCTTGGAGGCGCTGAGAGGCCAGGTCACGTTTGCACGCTGGCCTGTCAGACTCCAAAGCTGGGGTCCCTAAATGCCACATGGTCCTGAATCTTGCAGTCTGTGCTGGTACCTACCGTGTGCTTGGGGGCTGGATGAGGCTGGGACAGAGGAAGTCAGAGGACCCTGAGATGGCTGGTGGGTTGAAGGTACCTGAGCTGACTGTCACATACCTGTGTGCATGTGGTGGGAAGGGAAGGAGATGTATTGGGTGGCGCTTTGGAGATGTACATTGCTTCTGTCGCAAAGGTTGGCTGACTGTGAGTCACCCTCCTGCCTCCATTCCGTCCAGCAAGCAGGCTGGGGCTTCTGTGCCCGCAAGCAGGCTGGGGCTTCTGTGCCAGGGCCTGAGGCCCAGCCCCACCAGGAACTGTTTATAAAATGACCTCCCACCCCTGGGGCTACATTGTGTCCACCCAAGATTCCCCCATCAGTCATTGCGAATCTTGCAACTCCAGCTTGCCTCTGCACCCCTGCCCCTATGGCATCTTCAGTTTTGAGGATGGTGTCTAGGTCACCGCTGAGGGTTCTTCCGAATGCTTTCCTCTTCCGCTACGCCCTCATCCTCCTCGACGCTCTCTGAAGCCAGGCAAAGCTGGTGGTTCCCCTCCTCTGGCTCTGTCCCTCTCTCTGCTTCCCACATGATGACAACGTGGGCTCACCCTCCTAGCTTAGTTCCCCCCCACATTAGACCACCTGCCTGCCTAGCTCTTAGAGAATTTATTGAGGTGGAATTCACACAGCATAGAATAAACCATTCTGATCCAGCGGCGTTAGTGCAGTCCAGTCATGGACTCTGCTAGTGCCAAAATATTTCCATCGCCCAAAGGCAAACCCTGTACCCACCGAGCAGCTGGGCTTCCCTGCCCTCCCTGACCCTCCCCGTGGCCCTGGTAACCGCCAGTCGGCGCTCTGCTGCTGTGGCCTTGCCTGGTGCTGGTCGTTTCATGTAAGCGGTTCGTGCAGCTGGTGGCCTTGGGCTTCTTTCACTCAGTGCAGTGTTGCCCAGGCTTGTCCACGTCGTAGCACAGGCCAGAGCTTATTCCTGTTTGCGAGTGAACATATTCCACTGAGGGACACATGTTTGTATAGCTCTGTGTCCACCTATAATTGCCCGAGTAAGGTTTGTTTATCCACTCACCTTTCGATGCACGTTGAGTTGCTTCCACCCTTAGCGGTCGTGAGCGGGCCGTTTGTGCGTGCAGACGTTTGTGAGAGCGCCTCTTTACAGCCTGGGCCAGGAGTGCACTTGCTGAGTCAGGTGGCGATGCCATGTGGAACTTTCGGAGGAAACACTAAGTTGTTTTTTGCAGTGGTGGTGCCGTTTTACACTCCCACCAGCAGCGTCTGTGACGTTCACATGTGTGCTTTTTGTTTCCTTATTTATTTTTGCAAAAATAGATGGTACTAGATTTACCAGTTTGTAAGCTACTTTTTTTTTTTTAAGATTTTTTTTTGAAGATTTGCATATAAGAGCTGGAGTACAGGCCAGAGTTATGGAGGTGAGAGGATTCACCAGAGCAGAGTGGGGTGCAGAACAGGCAGATCAAGTGAAATACACTGCTGAGGGGAGCAGCAGATGGGTCGGGAGAGGTCTGCTGCACCATGTGGGTCAGCTTCCAGGCCAGGAATCGAACTCACCCTACCATGGCTGTGTACAGCCTCAGAGTGCTGCACTCTAATCTGGTGAACCACCAGGGAGGGCTGTAATCTGCTTTTTTTGGGGTAGCTTTTAAAGTGTGGAAGGACCAAGCACTTGCTCTGGAGAGCTTAAGTTTGGAGTGATGTGCCAAGGAAAAATGGAAGTTCTCCTATCACATTTACATGCTGAAGAAGGGACCGTGGGGCCTGGTGGGCTGAGGTTTGATTTATTATAGCGGAACCAGCTGACAGAGTCTTCCCAAGTGAGTCAAGCTGGTCTGAAGGGTTTGTGTGGGGAAGGTGGGAGAGGAGTTGGGCTGAGAGAAGTGGCCAACTGTGGAAGGCTTGAATGCCAAGGCGAAGAAACAGTGGTTCATTCACCAGGCGGCGGCAGCCACTGGAAGGGAGAAGTGGAAGATGGTGCTTCTGGAAGGAAGATCAGTCTCCAGCATGCACGTGTGTGTGCATGCCTGCGCTGTGCGTGTGTGTGCTTGTGTGCCACAGCAGTGGAGATAGAGGATATGTCTGGACATTTGGTTTGTGCTAGAAGAAAGGAACTGGATGGGGGATTGTGACCCAGGGATGTGATGGATTTCCTGGGTCATCATGAATGGATAGAGATGGCCTGATAGAGACCTCTGGGCAGGTGACAAGTTGGTGGCAGGAGAAGACCAC